AAACTGGGCCCCTTTTCGACAATTGTGTAAACTAGACATAGCTACCATTTCGACTGTTGGGTAAACCGAACCTCACTATCATTTTGACTCTAGTGTTAACCGGACATGTCTCGTATTTTGACGCTAGTGTAAACTGGACTTATGTCTATCTTTTTGGCTCTATTGTAAACCAGATATATGTCTACCCATGTGACTATACTTCAAACCGGGCCTATATATATAACTTTCCTTTAACTATTTTCGATTTCCTTTTATACGATTTATATTCAACATTAAATGACCCAATAAGTGTAGATATGTTATTTAAGTAAACAACATTCCATTCTGATCTCGTTTAAGCATTTTCTTTAAGCTTTTAAACACCTACCAAAACACTTTTATGATTTCTCTAAAATTTGCGAAAAATGATATTAATATTCGTTGATGCTTCAATTCTGTACACAGATATTTATGAAATTACGAGAAAGTGATTTCTTGCAAATTGGTCACACCGTGGAGTGATAAGAAGAAAACCAAATATGAATTTCTTTTACGTTTTTGATATTGCTGACGTAATCATCAGGCGAATTTCTGTCCCATAATATTTGTAACTATTAATCACTAATAAATAAAAAGTAATCACTCACAGAGGTGGCAGCGTTTCCGCATAACTGAATTCACTTGCGGAATCTGTCAACACAAAGAGAGGCGATTTCTTCGGAAGAGATACGCTATCTTTTGACCTGAGACGGGGGATTATTCACGCTACCGTGAGGCTTAAATATAAAACGAGATATGATAAACCGATAAGAGAGAAGGAGATGATATATTTGTTTTATTCAAAATAGCGCATAGAAAGAAAGAATTATGTCTCTTTTCTCTCTTTCCGATTATATATATATATATATATATATATATATATATATATATATATATATATAAATAAACAGTCACTATTACTGCTGATGATGCAAGACTCTCCTAGCGATTGAGTTCTCTGAGTGATTGGAGTGTTTATAAAAAAATAAATACGCAAAAATACGCTTTTCTCCTCGCAGGTCGTCGATGGCCTAGAGGTTAAAATCTCCGACTCCTACCAAAATGGCCGGGTTTCGGTCCCGACCATGATGCAATCGGATGTTAGCCATACCGGTAAGCTGCGAAACGGTCTGTCTGTGGAAGACTATATAGATACAAGTGTAGATATATACCAAATAATTAGATATTGATAACTATATGTGTGCATTAGATGTATATATACCTTTTTTTTTAACTCACCGGTAGCACGACGCGGATTTTCATGCCCAACGCAACCTTGAGGTGCTGAGTAGGGAATAATTTCTATTTTAATAAAAAATATCGGGCGTTATTTGCATTTAAAATAGACGGAATTTATATTTTATTCTTTAAATAAACGTGGATTATTGTTTTTAATATTGTATTAAAATAAACGTGCCTCTATATACTTGACATAAGCTAAGAAAACAGAGTAAAATTAAAAAAAGAAAAGGTTATAATATTTCGTAGAAATTAATCTGGATCAAGGCATTTCAAGATGTATTTATTTTTATGCCTACATATGACCATCAATTCATTTCTCATGGTCACTTAATAATATATATCTGTTGAAATACGTTGATCCAGATTAATTTCTCTGTAGACAATCATATCGTCTATGTCCTAAAGAGACAGAAACCTACACAGAATGTTCGGAAAATTACAATGTACTAATAATTTCTTAATAGTCATGTTTCAGTATAGAATACAGAAGGAGAATGGAAATGAAAATTATAAACAATTTTGTTAAAAAAAAAAAACTGGGGTAAAATTTTAAATATGAAAAGATCACAGTAACTTTCCGAACAACCTGTAGAAAAAGATTACAAATCGTTCGCAAAAAATGGAAATTATGATGCAAACTTATAATTATTCAGAAAATAATGACTTATTTTTCAATTTAAGTTATAATCTATCTATCTATCTATCTATCTATCTATCTATCTATCTATCTATCTATCTATCTATCTCTCTCTCTCTCTCTCTCTCTCTCTCTCTATATATATATATATATATATATATATACTTTCTGTTAAATTACAAAAACTTACACTACCCATCAATTTTAATTTCATTTTTCGTTTCATTTCATTTTTTGGAAGTGCTATCTGATGACCCGGCGTCCTTTAAAAGGGCTCTGGTGAAATAAATTATTATAATGGTACCTTAAAGTGGTCACTTTTTTTTTAATATATATATATATATATATATATATATATATATATATATGAGTGTGTGTGTGTGCGTATTTAGGCAGCAATCCTTCTTTCATGCACATTTCATTGAATACGACAGAAAAGGTGCTTTTATTTAGTTTTTTTTATACAATTTCTCATGCGATCGAATAATTTTTTTTTCTTTTCGGATGATAAAACATACATACAAAAAACTATTTCTTATTTAACAGTTAAAATATTTAATCCTTGAAAATGTCTAAATGTATAGCCGAAAGCGCTCGGATAAAAAGAACATTCGGACAGTTTTTATATAATTTATCATCCGAAAAAAATTATTAAATTACTAGATCGCATGAGAAATTGTATAAAAAACTAAATAAAAGCACATTGTTTGTTTTATTCAATGAAATGTGCATATATATATATATATATATATATATATATATAGTGATTTCACAGTCGGTCCTAAAACAGGTTCGACGTACAAAACGTTAGGAACTTCATATAATAGGTATGATTTTTAGTATCCGACTAAAGGTCGTCCGACATCGACTGACTGACCAACTCACTGAGCGACTGACTCGTTACTCTTACTACTCCTACTTATTATAGGTGGCAGAGTCTATTAACTGTAGAATAGGTGTGTTCCACTATAACACACACACACACACACACACACACACACACACACACACACACACACACACACACACATATATATATATATATATATATATATATATGTAGCTCGTAAAATTTGGATGCAAGTCTTGAATGTTGAAGAAAGCAGAGAATATATTTTGAAACTCTAGAAAATTATCAAGTGAAATGATAAATAAAAGACAAAACTTGGCAAACGCTTTGAAAAATTGCTAGTGAAAATCTTTTTTTCAAAAGTTAGAGAAAATAAGAACAGTGTAAATGTGCACAACCTGACAAAGGATCGCTACAGTTAACTGAAAATCGCAAAAGACATTGGTTTGAAATCTGGGTATTTAGAATCCGTTTCTAAATCTTATTTTAGATAATGGATCCTATAAAACAACTTTAAACGATCAGCGCTATGCCGTTAGATGCTACTTGCTATTTGCACTAATTACATTCAGAATATCATCCTTATCTTTTAATCGCAACGTTTCGGGCGTTTTGCCCTCCGGCCTTCGTCAGGTGTATTTCGATCCGGGTAACCTACAGGGAATTCTGAACTGAACCCTTTATTTAATCTACGGGTATGGACTGTTCTCGTTCCACTTCTCTTGTCTAAGGATATCTCGTCTAGTTCTTATTTTTATTTAATAGGGAACATAGATCACCAGTGAGCAAACACAGACGATCCCATTAATTAAGTAGACAACGTGACCATAGAGGAAACGCATTTGTAGAAAGTAGCTTGTCGTCTAATGGATCGCTATTTCTATTCTATCCTCTATACTATTCGGATCGCTATTTCTACTCTATCCTCTATTACTATACGGAGCGCTATTCTCTACTCTATTCACTATACTATTTCTCTATACTGATCTCTATACGGATTACTATTCGAACTGGTATTATCGAGCAAGTGCGAGTGTTACTCGAAGGCGTGTGACACCAGTATTGTTCAACGGCGTTACTATAGTTGTATCTGCGATTACAAAGTCTCTACTACAACGAGCATTACAAAAGTGACAAGTATACACTGTCATCACAAACGTGGAAACGAGTGTTCGTTGACATCAGGAAATTAAACCATAGTTATGTTTCACAAGTAAGAACTATTACACGTTATATGTTCTGCTCAAAACTAAAAGACATATAGGGAAAATTGAGTGAAATAAATCCAGCTTTATTTAATTGAACAAAACTAATTGTATTCAATGATCAGAGATTTTTCAGCTGTTATTCATGAAATCAAAGGCCCTAGAACCACACAAGTTTGAGAAATAAGAAATGAGGTTATTGTGAGGATGCACAAGGAGGGAGCAAGTGGTGCATATTATGCCAATATCTATATCTACACCGTTGCGCAAATTGAAATAAAACGAATAATTCCTTTATATTTACTTTTTTTTGTATTTGTACAATGAAACATGACCTAGGGCACATGTTAGTAATTCGTATGTCCATTCCACGAAGACGTTTCTTGCAGATTGATCACAGATTCTCGAGTGGATTTAAGTCAGGAGAGTTTCCGGGCCGATCTATATTACTTTTGTTCACTGGTAAGGCTTGCAAGTGTGTTCGTGCAGCGTCCATCACAGAGAATGGCTGTAGGACAACTAATCGACAGTCGAGACAATAGTGTCTGTACGTGATAAAAATCTGATGCAATCACGGATGACGCAATATTTTTCAAGGCCAAACAAATTTCATCATACACCCCGAAAATAGATCGATATTACTGCACGTCACAACAAATGACCTAATCTTAGGAAAAAATAGAAATCGATTACACCTTGTCACTCCAGTGGGTCTAAAACTGAACGTATAGTGAAAGAAAAAAAAACTAAAGTGGTTGTTTCAATTAATTTGCACAATGGTGTATATATTGATCGATTGATTTGTTTTTTTTTTCTTCGCAGGATATTTATTATATTTTTAGATTGTAAGAATTTTTGGAGAGAATAATGATTTACTTAAGAAAGTCATACTATTTAACCCATATCTGTGTGGGTGGAGTAGATGTGGATCCACACCTTTTCCAAGAGCATTTGCATATGAGTATAACGAACCCGACATGAACTGGAACTCGCTTCTCCGATTTCCAGTTCCGTGCCTTTATCCATTACACCGCCTGCATATCTAAACTTACAGCAACTGATATTCCCAAGATGTCACCCATCTAAGTACTGACCAGGCTAGATGTTGCTTAACTTCGGCGATCACACCGGAATATGATGTTTCAACGTGATATTGCCCTAAGCTGTGGGTATCTAGATTAGATAAGGATTGACTCTAGACTTGAAAAGGTTGTCTGTAGTGATCGGCCAAACTTTGCGCAAATGGAACCCCAAAAGCTATGGACGTCTAAACTTTAACACATCCTTCAAGAAAACGGCCACCAATGAATAACCCCATTTTTAAAAAATCATTTTCGAAGCAAAAAGTTTTTCTATCGGGGAAGATACAAGCAATACCCTCAAATTATTTTTAAGCAAAGGCCCCAAGAAATCTATAAAAAGAAAAAATAATAATCACATTGTTGTCGTTGGTAAACGTGAATTGTCTTAAATGATTCATATTTCGATCAATAACTTCTAAATAAATTCATTGAACATTCTGGTTAATATTTGAATTTGAGTATTAATTGATATTCAAAAATTAATACTCAAATTGAAATAATGTTTTTTTTTCAGCATTTATACATTCTTTTGTTCGATATTTATGGTTCATTTTCAAAAGTACCTAGTAACCGTCGTTGAAAGTAACGACCTAAAATGTCGTGATGTAAAACAAAAAATGAAAAACAAAATATCTTACTCTATACGGATTACTATTCGAACTGGTATTATCGAGCAAGTGCGAGTGTTACTCGAAGGCGTGTGACACCAGTATTGTTCAACGGCGTTACTATAGTTGTATCTGCGATTACAAAGTCTCTACTACAACGAGCATTACAACGGTGACAAGTATACACTGTCATCACAAAAGTGGAAACGAGTGTTCATTGACATCAGAAAATTAAACCATAGTTATGTTTCACAATAAGACAAAAACAGTTAGCGTCTATGATGACTGTAGAATAGATAATATTATTGGCCCTGGCCTGATATGAGTTTCAATCACTTTCCAACCGCCTTAACTTAGCTTCTCTATAGCTTTTCTATAAACACTTTTATGGTAATTCTCATAATAAGCCTTATTCTTTGCTACCGAGATTTTGCGAATTTAAGCGCGGGACTAGATTGTCCCCTACGTCTTATCATTTTACAGTCGAAATGGCTCGATATAATCGTAAGTTCTATGTTAACACTTTCTTCTCACGCACTTCTCGCTTGTGGACTCTCTTCATCTATTATTCTACTTTGATCTTCAAAAATTTAAAGGTAATTATTCTTTCCGTTTTCTTAATGTCTGTTCTTTTATTATTCCGTCACCCTAATAAGGTTTTGTCTCTCTCATATTCTCTCACACTCAGTAACACTTAACGTCTTAGTGGCTTTATGCTTGAGTGAAAGTATTTTTTGAAAAAGAAGATAAACAATATGGCATGAATTACCAAATGGATATCCCATTGAATGCACTTAGGTGCCAAAAGTCATGGTTTTTCCTACTGTAGTGTAGGTTCCATTCTAGGCCAGCAAAATGCAATAACTGGAACTGATATAAATTCCACAAATTATCGTAAGACCTCCTGGGTGATTTTGAGCCATGTCGTCTTGATAGCTCTCTACAGCTTTCTGATATTCGAAAATCCAGCATCTTACGTTCGATTAGACCTTTTCACCAAGTCCTATAGATATTCGAATCATCTCATGTCGGGGGGGAACATGGTGATCTAAACTATTCGTCTGAAATCTCCAGAATAGTTCCTAAACCAATTCTGTGCAACATGAACCCGATAGACGTTTTATATTGTTCAACAGGAAAATGTAATCCTTGTCTGGAATCCATAGATGGGGGGGGGGTGAAAATGCTCACGAAGCCGTTCAACCTAGCGGTCAGAGGTCAATGAAGAAGTTAGGTGGATCAGCTGACCTAATTCATGTCGCAGGAACACACCTCAAGGAATACGTAAACTACCATCAGTCTGAACGGGATTTTCTTGAGAACTACAGTTCATGGTTCCACGGGGTCTCATCAATATTGAACCCAACCATTAGCCACAAACAATTGAAACCGTGACTCTTCCGACAACGCCACATATTGATCCTCCTTTAAAGTTCAATTAGGTACACAGAATAGGTGAAAATTCGGTCTCATCATTTGATCTTTGAATTTACGAAGCATAACCTTACGTTTTATTCTAATAGTTTCTTCTCTCGCACTTCTGGCATGTGGCATTCTCTTGCTTTCCTCTTAATTTCAACTAAGATCATCAAAATTTTAAATGCAACGTTAATCGTCATCTGTCTTCTTGAATCCTGTGCTTTTTTCTCCGCAGAAATATTGTAATGTTTTTTACTCTCAGGAACAGCTTTTGATTTAATGGCTTTATTGCCTTGTTTGGCGTGAAATGATTAAATAGAAGAAAAAAAAACCACCATGACTTCAATGTACAATGGCGCTACCTACCATTATTTTTAGATGTTGCAAACCTGGAACTTTTGGCACAGCAGTGTATATGAAAGATCTGATTCTAACCTGTTCAATGATCGCTTCAAAATCTTATTGCCCTATAATCCAAACCAGTTACCGAGTTATTGCCATATGTTAAAATATTTGAAGAGATAATAACGCTAAAATGATTAGTTACCTGTGAAGTAAATGCCTGACAGGATTTTGAGGATTCTATGTCACAAGAATTTTTTTGCCAAGTCATCAACATAATAGAAATTTATATAAAAAAATACAATTCTATTCCTCTTAGCCCTACCTAAAAGCGAATAATTTAATAATCAACGAGTTGTTCAGACGACATTTTCTCAATATGCCTTGAATTTTGATTTTTTTTTCTGACAAAGCTATGTCTGAGTCAGGGCAATAAAATTTCTCTTCTAAAAAAAAAAAAGACCGAGAAGGAAAATTCTTTCTTTTGAGATTATTCACCAGCCAGAAGAGCAAGGAATTCAAACAAGCGATAATTTAATCACCTGAAAGGACCTCTTCCTGCCTGGCTGATACAAACGTCCATGAGAGTGACATGTTGCGCCTTTCCAGGCTTATATTCTCGGCTGATATGAAATGTAAAAATTATATTGAATTAATTGCTAGGGCTCCTGCTAGGAAAGTTGGTTACCCCGAGTTATGATAGATAATTTTTCTCTGAATCTATCTTATATATTTATAAGTCTACCATGCTTTGCATATTGCTGACACATATGGTGAGGTGTTCCCGATCTATATTTAGAGATTTCTGATAAAATCTAAAAAGAATCAGCCATATTATTCGTCCTGGTCTGGCATCTCGGCTTGTGCAAAAACTGTTTGGAAGCACACACAGGTAAAACAAAGGTGGGTGTAGGGGAGAAGGTAGTACGAGTGTAATAGGTTCACTAGGCAAAAGAAATCCACACTTCTTGCCTCGATCTCCAATACGCCACAAACCATCCAAAACGAAAAAAACAAACCCTTGTTAAATTAGCGTACAATGTTTTTATGCAACTGACCCAACCAGCACTCAGTCAATAAGCACCCAGAACCAGCCAATAAAAATGTCTACAAGCGACACCAGCGCTTCCATCAGAACGAAGTGTTGTCCGATTCACCGTCCGTCCGAAGCTCATCGTTCCGCTGTCTTCACACTCCATACACGCGACTCTGGCCTTTTTGGGTCGCCGATGTAAGTCAACGCTACACGTCTTCAGTCACTTTCCCACCGACGTAATGTAGCTTCTCAGTGCCTCTCTTATAAATACTTTCATGGTAACTGTTCACATGAACTGTTCCCTATTGTATCCAGGCATTGTAAATTTAAATGAAGTAATAGAATGGAGATACGGTGTAATCAATTCAAAGTTGAATTGGCTAAGTTCTATGCTAACAGTTTCTTTTCTCGCACATCTTGCTTGTGGCACCTTCTTCCGGTTCTATGCTTTTCAGCCAACTTTGATCTTTCTAATTTTAAATGCAATGTTAATCGTTATCTACTGTCTTCTTGATTACCCTTCTCTTGTTTTCACTCTTTAAATGTTTTTCTTTCTTTCCATTCTGTCACACTTCGTAACACCTTATGTCATTATGGCTTTACTGCCTTGCGTAGGGTAATATGATTAAATAAATTTAAATTGGGTGATCCTGGCGACCTAAATATAAAACAGTTCACTGGCCGGTGAAAATCAATATTCATTCACGCGGCCAGGATGGATAGTTACAAAGACAAGAGGCATCCTTAACAGCTGAAGACATTTGCAGCTGAAAAGAAGAATCCGAAACACCAAGTGACCAAGCAAACACTCCGGAGCATTTAACCGGAACTAAAAACTAACAATTGATTCTGGAACAAACTTCAAAGAGACAGTCCAAGCCTTCGTCACTTTGTAACATCACAGCTATCAAAATTCCCCATACTTTTGCCCTACTTTTAACTGGGAACAAGCCCTCACTTTCAGGTAGCAAAATTTAAACAGTAGGTATATTTGGGCCAGTAATGGTGGCTAGCTAATGTTTAAGATAAGACAGATTGAAAGCCAGCCTTCCCTATCCTACTTTTAGGCTTGTTCTACATTTTTATATTACTCAAAATAAATATTGCTTCCCAATTTGGTTTATTGACTTTATGAATTTAAGCGCAGTACTAGATTAGCGGCAAGGTCTCATAATTTTACAGTGGAAATGGTTAGATGCAATCGTAATTTCGATACTAACAGTTTCTTCTCTTGCACTACTTGCTTATGGAAATACATTCTGTTTAATTGCTTTCTAGTCAAATTTGATCTTTAACAACTTAAATGCAATCTCAATCATTATATTCTATCTTCTGAATACTCGTTCTTTTATTGTGCTCTGCTTAATAATACTTTCTTTTTCTCAATTTCAGTAACCAGTTGCAGCTTAGAGGCTTTATTGTTTGACTCGGGGTGAAATGATTCAAAATGTTTTCTGGTTATAAAGAATAACTCCAGGGTCAGTGGATGGTATTGAATGTTGCATCAAAATCGCGGCTCATCTGTAAAGACTGAATCTATCTATCTATCTATCTATCTATCTATCTATCTATCTATCTAATACAATCTGTTTCTATCTATCTGTTTATCTAAGACAGTCTGTTTCTATCTATCTATCTATCTATCTATCTATCTATCTATCTATCTATCTATC